TGGTGCACGACAATGACTGTCCCACTCCTCACGACTTAGACCTACCCACTTGACCAACTGACTGACTAACTGTCTAAGGACCACAGCGCCTTACCCTTTGATCCAGCCAGGTTACCACGGCCGATGGAAGCTTTCGCTGCCATTGTCCTTTACAATCCAGACCCAAATGCCCAGCACCTGCGGTCAATCCCACCTGGCTTTCTCTCCGGTTCAAACCCTGTCAACTATGGTCTCTAGCCTGGACCTAATACTAACGCTGTCACTACAGGACTTCGATGCTGATCAGGAGGCATTTTAGGAGATCCCCCATAACTCAGGAATTCTTTAACGTCGCAGACAGGACGACGCGATCAGCAAGTCCTCTCAAGACTTAGACAGCTTGTTGTGCAGCCCACAACTCGGATTCTGGGCCTATTGTGCCACACCGAGCAGCCCGCCGGTCTGTACCGGTCCTTGGGAGGGTTCGTGTCCTCCGGGTCAGTTGAGTCGTCGGACAGCCTTTAGCCCTACTCAGCCCGTGTGGGTTTTGGTCAACAAAGCTCTACAACCACATACACGAAATTCCTATCACCTGGACAGAAGAGACTTAATGCAGAAAGAAGAGACAGACAGGCTCAGCAAGTACCATGGGGTGTGTGCACATCCATAGGGCGAGGGGATAGGCTGAAGGCTTGGCGAGAATATACCAACTCCAGCTTGGTCAATTTCATGGTCAACGGCTCCGGTCAATGCCTTGGTCAACGCCTGGTCAACTCCGGTCAACCCCTTGGTCAACCCCCGGTCAACACTCGGTCAACCCCTCGGTCAACCCCTCAGTCAACCCCCGGTCAACACTTGGTCAGCCCTCGGTCAACCCCTTGTTCAATGCTGATCTCGGCTATGGCTGCCGACCTCCTTCTTCCTTACCAACCCTCGCTTCTCTTTTCCCCTCCTTTCTTCTTCCTCGCTCCTTTCTCTCCTCACCCCGGCTATGTCTTTCTTTCACCTTCATCGTCTCTCCCTTCTCCTTCCTCGGCTATGGCTTCTTTCTCATCCTTCGTCTCTCCCTCCTCCGTCACTCGTCTTCCTTCTTCTACCTCCGTGTCCGAGCTCCACGGCTATGGCCGCCTTCTACTTGCTGGGACTGCACAACAATCTTCTCTCTCTCTCTCTCTCTCTCTCTCTCTCTCTCTCTCTCTCTCTCTCTCTCTCTCTCTCTCTCTCTCTCTCTCTCTCTCTCTCTCTCTCTCTCTCTCTCTCTCTCTCTCTCTCTCTCTCTCTCTCTCTCTTCATCGTTGTCTTCTTTGCAGGTACGCGGCACCTTCCTTCGCCGGCGCAGCTATGGCGAACCTTCCTCCTTCGATGGCGCAATTACAGCTATGGCGCCCAGACAACGATGGCGCGCGGAGTAACGGGAACCAGCTCCGATACCAATCCAATCAGACTCGCTCTCTTCTTTGCTTCGCATACATGCAAACAGATAGCAATTCACACTGGCGCCAAGCGCCCACTCAAAGCTCAGAGATATGGAAACCAAGAACACAGTTCAGATGCAAACTCGCTTCATCCGGCTATGGCGCAGCAGCGCCCGTACACCCAACTCTCGTCACTGTGTCCAACACCACTGTTCGCACGTACTCAACTCTGGATCGCCCTGAATACCCCACGCACACGTACTCTGTATCACACACACACACACACACACACTAACCGCTCTCTCTCACCTATGGCGGCTATGGCCGCTCGCTACTACTACTATGGCTACGCTATCTTCTTCCAGCCCACTTCAACTTCGGGCGCTCTGCAGACCACCTCGCACAAGACGCTGGGGCAGCACTTCCACATGGCTTACGCAGCGAATGAATGAATGAGTGGGCGCTGCCTCTTGATTTATACTTCTGTAACTCGTTGGTCTGGCCCTTTCCACCGGGCCCATGGTGCACACAGTCCCTCATGGTACTTGCTTGACTGGACTGGGACTGGCTGGACCGGTATCGCTGACTGCATGGGTTTGCACTGCCAGCTCGATGCAGTCGCACTGCCAATGTAACGCAGTTGGGCTCACCGCTTGCCCACTTGCCTCTGACTAAACGTGAGGCAACTTCGAAAGGCCACTTCCGGACCTTCCGGAAGTCTGTGGACTTGGCCTTTCGAGTACTGTAGCAGCTACGACCTTGACCTTTCAGGACTGTAGCAGCTACGACCTTAACCTTTCAGAATACCTACAGCTATGACCTCTACAGAGCTGTGACTCCTAATCGACAGACCTACAGATCGAACCCCTACCACTACACAGACCTACGACAGACGACAAACAACTACCAAAACACAGGTCACGGGTTCAAACCCGGGGGTCGACTTGATACTGTACATGGGCAAAGTGAGGTCTGGGGTCGAACTCTAGGGCCCGCATCTGTGACTGCAGAAAGGTGAAAACCGTTTCATCCCCTACAAAGAAAATTAGTAATTACAAACCACGAGTGTTGTGACTTGGTAGCAATTGCGATTATGATGGGGGCAGGTCTGGCAGGCACTGGATGATATTTGATTGAATGCGATGGGTCATGGATGTCATGAACTTGGTCAGACATGACATTACCTTGCAGCCAACTAACGCTGTATGTGCCATCAACGTGAATGTGTGTGGGCTGCAGAAGCTTGCAACGTAGGCAACTTGGAACACTTGCAGCTGAGCATTGTGCAGACAGAATTTGGGTGCTATGATCCAATGTGAAAGGGAAACAGCCCCCCCAAAAAAACAAAAGAAGAAGAAGAAGAAGAAGAAGAAGAAGAAGAAGAAGAAGAAGAAGAAAAAGAAGAACAAGGGAAACTCCCCCGATCGTAGTGTAAGGTCCTAAAGCAATTACTTAGTCGGAAGTCGGAAAGGAAGTGATCGAGCAATTACAATCAGGAGGTGGGATTGCGAGGAGCCATCCTTCGAATGACATTTGTTTACGTGGGATGCAAATGTTGTGTGTGCGATGTATGTGGGGCCCACATGTTGACTATGCAACATATGTGGACTGCGGAATCCTGTACATGTGATGTCGATGGGGACTGCAAATATGCTGTATGTGCGGTACAAAACATTGCGGCCTACGTATGTGCCGTTGATTTTCTGCTCTCTGTAAGAAACAAAAAGAGATTATATCACATTTACAGGCTTACATCCACAATTAAAGTGGGTTGTATGTGGACTGATGAATGGATGTGTAATGTATTTGGTCTGCCAATGCTGTATGTATGATGTATGTGGGCCTCGCTAGACATACAGCATTTGCAGACCAGACACATCCCACGTACGGCATTTGCAGACCACATACATCACACATCAAGCATCGGCAGACCACATACAACCCAAATTTATTGTGGCTGTAATGTGATCACTAGATTTATTACAACCACAAAATAAATGTGGGTTGTATGTGGTCTGTCAACGCTCTATGTGTGATGTATGTGGCCTGCCAATGCTGTATGTGGGATGTGTCTGGTCTGCAAATCCTGTATGTGCCATGCGGTTACATTCCATTGCAGGGGGCACATGTCAGGTGTATTTCATTGAGTAGTCGTTGTTTCGGAGAGAGACTTCATCACACAGTACGCAGCCACCAAATTATAGGGGATGGGGATCTGGGCTCTCAAATGATGCTCTTTGCGATCCAGATCACACGGTCACCAAGATATGTATGTATTGTATACAGGGGGCCTCAGTCCACCGCTTCCCAACTGTGCAAAATGAGAATGCATCTTCCGCTAAATCGGGAAAGCTACACCGCCTTTGTTTTTTTGTCTTTTGTGCATGCGGTGAGTAGCGGAGGGAGGCCTAGTCACATTTCTTTCTGCAGAGAAACCATGTTAGCATGTCAGAGAAACCTGCGACAAATTATTTGGACCTGGAATGAAGAAAACCAAATTATTTGGACCACCTGGCATGAAGAACGGTGCAATTGTGATGAAGTGTACAGAAACGGAAATGTCTGTAACAACGACGAGATGCTTCACGGGCTTGCTAAGTCGTTTTAAAAAAATCATGGCATTCGTTCACTGGTGTTGAATCTGTTGATCCATCCCACGCGACTACGGTACTAGTTGTTACTCTGCCATTGTGTACCTAGAATCCAGCATGTTGTTGATCCATCGACCGGTTCATGCTTGTTCTGTATGTCCATTGTCCTCCCCTTTAGATTTCTGCCATATAACTCTGTGAGTCTGTGTTGCATTCAGTTTGTTCGACTTTGTTGTGTGTTTGGACTCTTCGGAGAGCTATCTATCTCCTCCCCCGTGTCCCCTCTCTCACCATCAACCCGCTAGGTTATTATAGACGCCGATATGGTTGAGTTATTAACTAACAACAATGCATTATCATTTGATACGATGATGCATCTTTCAGAGTTCGACTGATTGCTTGCATCGGGTTTCAGGTTTTTTTCTATTTCACTCACTTTCTTACGGTGCTTTTCACCTTTCCCTCATGGTACTTGTCATCGAGCCGGGCGTGATAAATCTATGGCGTAAGAGGGTCTAACCTTCACCTAAATTTATCAAGTTTTATTACTTATTTTAAGTTATTTAGTACTTATGTCATTTCTAAGTTTACATTCCTTTCGTTCTGAGCTTGTTATTTCTTTGCAATCTATTGTGTATACTGCATTGTGTCTGAGGTGGTAATGGACTAGCAGTGTCGCAGGTGTTACATACTGTGACAATGTGCTATGATAAAAAGGACCAGTACATGCCAGGCATTGGCCCTTTTCGGAGACTGCTATGCTCGCCACCGATGTCGTTTATCAACGGTGCGCGAGCCTCCAAAATTTAAGGCGAGGGTCAATCGGATTCTCAACTTGGCTGGGGCTATGTACTGGTGGTTTAAGGCAAATGATTTTTTATTATTATTTTTTTTTTCAAAACGTCAAATGTCATTCACATGAAATTTACAACAATGTCACAAGTAGTCGGTAATGGATATTAAAAAGAAATTGCGTGCTCGATCGCTTATGCATTAAAATTTGTGCTGCTGGCAGGTGTAGTTGACGAGGAAGTGGTAGTGCTCGCGGAGCTTGTGCGGAATTTAATGGCATCATCTCGTGCTGCAGTAAGGGGCGATAAAACCTTTAACCCTTTGCCAGTAACGTTGGGGTGCCAACCCCCCCACCAGTCTACACCTTCTCACAACGATGCGAACGGTACACCAATAAGCTACAGGGAAGCTAATGGCTTTGCGTTCATAGAGGCAAGGGCCACAGGACATAGTCTGCAAATTGCAGCTGAAATTGTGGCGGAGATTGCAGCGGAACTGCCTGCATGTGCAGCTGTAACACCAGATGGAGTACTCGGGGCATCTAAGGCTGCTGTGCCATCATGAATGACTGCCAAATGCCCCAAGATGACGTCTGTTGACATGCGGAGTGTTGCTGGTAACCCAGCCGCTGTGTCATATGATTGCCTCCCAAACGCTTGGAGCCAAGGGGAAACAGGTTAGCCGTTCGCTGCTCCATTACTCCCATTGAAAGACCTGTCGGCTCATAAAGGGCAGATGCATGTATGTGTGTATTGGAGACAGTGACAGAGAGAGAGTCCGATGTGTTTTGGGCGCGTGCACAGGTATCAGTGCGAGAGAGAGGTGTGTATGTACGAGAGAGAGAGAGAGAGAGAGAGAGAGAGAGAGAGAGAGAGAGAGAGAGAGAGAGAGAGAGAGAGAGAGAGAGAGAGGCTATAAAAGGCAGATGCATGTATGTGTATGCGAGAGAGTGAGATAGGTTCCTACGTGTTTTGGGTGCATGCACAGGTATTAGTGTGAGGGAGAGAAGTGTGTATGTAAGAGAGAGAGAGAGAGAGAGAGAGAGAGAGAGAGAGAGAGAGAGAGAGAGAGAGAGAGAGAGAGAGAGAGAGAGAGGTATGTGGGATATATCGTCAACTGCGAGGTCGACCTAGAACAGTGGCAGTCTGACAACAAATGACATGCTTTTCCCTTTTGGTTGGTGTTGCACTTTTACAGGCTTTCACAGTTTTTTTTTCTTCTTTTTTTTTCCATCTCGGTTGCTTTTACAGTTTGACAGTTCCAGTTGTATCGATGTCATACATTCTTTACTTCCTCTAAGAATTTAGAGGTTCATTTTGGTTTCAGACTTTCGGTTCATCTTTCTGTTTCCATTCGATGTACTGCCTGGCCGAATTTTCTTCTTTGTAATGGCGTGTGGGGGAGATATGTGATTATGTATGGTCATCTCGATTGTATGCCTACAAACTCTCCGCCGCACCAAGTGACAGTGTGTACACATCTTCTGTCATTTTGTTCTGAAAATGTTCTCCAAATGAGTATTGAATCTATTGATAATTGATGGCAATTGTTCCTTGCTCCTCAGACCAGTCAAAACAGTTGTTTGCATGTCTTCATCAATTAAGTAGCACTAGAAATAAATGATGACATCATGACACACTTGTAATTGTTCTCCAAGCATGGCCTGAGGAGCACGAGAAGGAATCCTTATAAGTTATACACAGAGAGGAAATAGAGATCACTCTGGGCGAGCCCTCGTCATCGACAAGGCCTTGTACGTCTTATCCCTTGAAGAATTTCCACTTCCACTCTCCCTGCCACCCTACTCCTCCCTTTTGCCGTCCCCCCCCCCCCCCCCCCCCCCCCCCCCCCCCCCCCCCCCCCCCCCCCCCCCCCCCCCCCCCCCCCCCCCCCCCCC